GTCATCATCTTCAACCTCAAGAGAGTCAATTAGATCAAGAAATTTCAATCCCTAAAATGATAAATCATAAAATTATCCTATTTTCAGTAATTTAACTTGTATTAAATTATATTTTGCTAAAATCTTTTGTAACTACTAAATTTCGTGGTAGGCCAATTTATTCCGTCGAAAAATTTCAAAGTCGGGTCAGTAATTTTTCGACGGACTCTTAAATTTCGATAATTAGTGATGAATTCGCATTGGAGTATTCTGTTTCTATTTAGCAAACAAGATTACAAGAATTTCGATTCCTAGTGACAGCGTGCTCCATCGCTATTCCTATTCTAGTGGTAATTGTTTATGAATTTTTTAAGAATTCATATAGGAATAATTTTATTGACTCATTGCTTTGTTTGCAAAGCAACAACAAATATTCTATTGTTATTTACTTCAAAATTTCCAACTTTGTTTTTGTATGGAATAATTCTGTCGCTAATTTGATTTACATTATAAAAAAATAAAAAAATAAAAAAATAAAAAACCTCAATATTGTTATATATAGATAATGATGAATGACATTGGCCCCATTTTGCGAAAATAAAAATGGGTGGAATATTGTTTTTATGAAAAGAGAGGGGTTGAAAATAAGGAAAAGTTTCGATTTATGTGTAATATTATTTTATGGAAGATTGTATGATTAAAAATAGGAAAGAGAAAAATGAAATGTAATGGAATGAAAATAAATGGAGGCCGCGTATGACTTTTCTACTTTACAAGTACGTAGTTTTGTTTATATTATTACTTTTACTGAATCTCCATGGATAAAGGTAGAGATGTCAACGAGTCGAATCGAGTCAGCTCGCGAGCTGAAATTCAAGGCTTGGACTCGACTAGAATAAAATTAAGCGAGCTTTTTTCAAGTCCAAGCCGAGCAAAAGATCGGCAAAAAAAAGGCTTTGGCCCGAAAGCTCGAGCCTTAGTGAGCCGAGCCCGAGCGATATTCTCTCTCTTCTTCTTTATTTTTTTTTTTTTATGGCACTCGGTTGCTTTATGAAAGGCAGCTGCCTTTGTTCAGTTTTTTTTTTTAATGCCCGAGCCTGAGCTAGCGAACCACACAACCCGAAACCTCAAAATGGGACTCGGCTCGAGCTTTGGCTCGATTTCACTGAATGTCGAGCCGAGTCATGGACGGCCTGAGTCGGCAAACCTAATTGACATCCCTAGATGAGGGTCACTCACAGTTATAATAAGTTACATTTTCTTTAATTCTCTTCTAATTGTTTTCTCTATTCTTTTGTTCTTAATTCCTTTCTCCTCAATTTTATAACATGTTATTTTTCATTAAATTTTAAACAATTGAGTTAGTAAATTTTTTTTCCTGGCAAATTGAGTTAGCAAAAATAATTCTTCTTTCCTCTTTAAAATAAAAGAAGACTATTGCATAAATTGCTTCAGAAGAAGTACTAGGCTCTTTATCGAAATTTCATAATATTATCGTGTTTAGGGTTGGATGAAACTCTCGAACCGAACTAGACTGAACTGAACCGAATCGAACAATTCTTTTTAAATTAAATATATGAACGGAATATCTGTATCAAAAATCGATAGATTTGATTCAATTCTCAGTTGTAGACCTAGAATCGAATAACCGAATAAAAACCTAATCGCCCTAATTTTTTAAATATTTATCTTAAATAAACCAAATTATTTTATTTTTTAAATGAATTTGTTAACTAATTAATTTAGCCCAAACTTAAAATATGATTTTTCTATTTCTAATTTCTAGCCTAAGCCAAGTTAATCAATTTGATCTACATTTTACGTAAATATATTATTTTATTGTAATGTCGTTTATACAGTTCTGAAAAATCGGATTAGAAGCTCGGATACTCCTCTCTTCATTATTGTGAGCTCGCTATTTTCCTCTTCCCATGATTTTAACAATCAAATCTATAAAAAACTCAATAAAGAGAGACGCAAAAAATACATAAAATTGGATTACGTTATTTGGTAAAAACTAAAATTAAACATTTCATTAGTTGAATTAATGTAGTTTTGTTGTAAATAATAAAAAAATCAATTACTGTATGGAACCTAGGAATCAATTAGAATCTAACTGTTCCTGAACCCGAACAGTTCCATAATTAAATTTGAACCCAACAATTCCACTTACTAAATACCCAAAATTTGGATTTGATTCGGTTATAAAGAGAATCGAACTAAATCGGATCATGTCCAACCCTAATCGTGTTATTGCTCTTGAAGAAAAACATAAAGAAAATTGTCCTGATGATCATGAAGAAACACAGTCCAACTGCATAAATATTCAAGAAAAATATTATTTTGTCATTCCTAAAAATTAACAACTTTAAAAAAATTAATATTCCAAAAAAAAAATTGCATTACTTAACTTTGTACAACTTTATTTCTATAAATGCATTAATACTCTAGAAGAAGTATAACTCATATCAAAATATACCATAATTCTGAAGGGAAAAAACAAAAAAACAAAAAAAAACAAAAAAAAAAAAGGTTCTTGTTTCAGAAAATGACTTTATACATATTGGTATTTCCAAAAAAGTATAATGCTTATACTCTCGAATGAGTATAATTGTACACAAATTATAGTATTCTATTATCACCAAAGAATATATGATCGTGTTTCAGAAAAATGCAATATCTTTATCTAGACATCTTATTAGTTTACTTTATGTGACAATTTAATTCTTTATCAATTTTATGTATGAAAAATCTCGAACTAGTGTGGATATCGGGAATAAAAGAGTCACATTGTTAGCAAACAACGTCAACATCTCCATTTACTGGCTTAGAGTTACTAACTAGGAAAAATACTTTGTTGTTGATTTTCCAATTCTTCCTCGAGTTCTTTAATTACGTTTACTCAGCTTGTCTCTTTGAAATTGTAAATCGAAGTTTACTTTTATGATTGAAGGAGATTGGCTACAGTAAAATTGTTGCACAACAAAATTTATAATAATTTCAACTCCCTTTAAGGATTGTCTTTGTGTTTAATAGAAATCATGAATTGAATTATATATTTAATAAAAATTCTACAATGTTCTACACTAATCCTGGAACACAAACAATCACAATCTTTGCATGCCTTTGTGAATCACGATTTTTCACACAGCTTATTAATAAATGTTTAAGTAAGCTTAATCCACCCACTAAATATAAGTTGAGCCAATATTTAATTAATTAAACTTGGCACATAATTTGATTAAATCAATCAATTAACTTAAGTCCATTAATAAACAATCCAATTAATTAATTCTACAAATATCTAACACTTACCAACTAATTAATTCATAATATCATTCTTCTAGTTCTTTCCTTTTGTGTATAATCATTAGGTTCACGATTACAATATTGGACAACGTGAATAATTATTTTGATACACTCAAAATAAGATAAATTAAACTTTTAAGTTATCATTAATCACCTAAATTTATTAATTCACATTCGCCGTCCCAAATTTACATCTAACAACATGTCGAAAACCTAATTTACATTCGTCATCCCAAATTTAAATTTAGCAATATGTCAAGCAAACATATTCGTTTATTAGTGAAACTATCGTACTTCATCAATATAATTCAATCAATTACGAGATATAAAAGTGTATTAATCTCGATTATTAATCATATCTTTCATTCCACTCTTAAGTCAATAATAATCAAAATTCTTTTCGACTAATTCTTTTACCTTGGTCAAGAATTTCGATATCAACTTAATCGAATAAAGCATAGATCATAATCTCTCACTTTTGAAGAGTGATAATTCCTCTATGATCATTCACAACTTTTATATGATTATTGACATACCCGAATAATGTCGTCTTAGTGACTCTTGATAGAGCATCCGACATCATCAAAATATGAATGTCCTCATATAAGGCGTTATAATAATCTCAAGTCAAAAGATCAATTCCACTATTAAACATTAAAGATTAATCGCTGATGCACAAATAGTAATATATGTGGAATTTCTCTAGCGGGCTTTCAATATTTTATTCTCTAAAACAAAACATCCACACGTCTATTGAAATGTCACTATATTCTATCTTTTTAAATAAGCTACTCACTTTCATTTATGAGAAACATCACACGTGCTGGTTTATCCGTAATAACGATATATGTATCTCGTTATTATTTTCGATCATGGATAATTTAAGATTCAGTCATAACTAATTTATTTTTTACAATCATAACTCATTGTGATTAACAAGTTATCAAGACTTAAATTTATGGACTCTATTAATTTAATTTATTAGAATAATAATTTAATTAAATGATAGATCTGTCATAAATAATAATGCATCAATCATATTAAAAGTATTTACGTCGAAAATCGATTGAACTTAGAGCACAATACTTACAGAAATTGTATAATTAATTTGTAGTAAATGAGGTTTCCTAAATTTCCAAATGCCACGGTCACACATCACTTTATCCTTTACTCAATTTGAGTCATTTTTTGTCCACAAAATGTTCACATTTCTATGACTAATATTAGTCACATTTCTCCATTTTCTATCGATTAATTCACAAACTTTCAATCTCGAGTACTACCAATTTTCAAACACTCTCAAAATTACATAAGTATCAGATATAGAAGAAACAACGATATTTAACAGCAATCATAGACTTCAAGAGGATGCAACCTTAAACCCAAAACTCACAAAAATGAAAAATAAAAAATCTATAAGAATATAACCATTACTAGTTAGGAAAATGCTATTTGTGTATTTGGGTTGACACTCCAATGCACTCCCCTCACAAGAATGGGAGCCTATGCCTCGGTGTATGTATAGCATCATCCTACTAGTTAGTGTCTTTTTTTCCAGCTAGCAGTAAGTCCAAGATTATCTTTATTTGCATTCATTAAGTGTTCAATCACATCCCGTTTCCAGAAAGAAAAGAGGTCAACAGCCATAATCTTATTAACAAAATCTTGCATGGATTAAAAGATACATCGCAATAAGCACGAGACACTCTTTTCTAATATACATCGATCCCATCAAACGAAGAAGAAGAAGAAGCAGCGGGTTCATGACCCGACCCAAACGATGCGATATGGTCTTTGAGCGACCTTTTGTGCTTGAAATCAGACCCGCAAACGCAAAGCCAGCGTCTGCCACAATTCTTTTCATGGGTTCGCCAATCACCTTTAACGGCCAAGCACTTGCCACATTTTCGACATGCAAATTGCTTCATCCCATGTTTTCTCTTGTAATGCGTTTGTAGAGTCCTAAAATCCTTGAGTGGTTTGGCTCTTGGGGTGTTTATGTTGTTCTTGCACCCTTCTTCACAGCAATAGCATGGAATACCAAGCATGGCCCGCGGTTTCGCTCCCTTAAGAGATTCAGGTCCTCTACGATATTCCGAACCATGACCCCACATATGCATCTGCAACATAAAACAAATTCAGTACAATCAGGGGCGGAGCCACGGAGGACAAAAAATAAATAAATAAATAATAATAATAATAATAAAATATATATGTATTATATCGGACTGATACATAATTTTTTTTCTAACTAAAAAACTAAGTGGGCATGGGCCTGCCCTCTCCCTCCTGCCTCTGAATACAATCTCACATACCAAATATGTCAATTAAAACCATCTGCCGCTACGCGTTGTAACATTAATTCAAACAATCCCATGTTGCACAAATTCCATTACTTTAAAGCGTGCGAAAATGAATGTAACGAATAGTTGAACCTGAAGATTATTGTAGCGATTGAAGGTCTTTTGGCATATGTGACAAGAAAAATGAGTGAAACCAACCAGGATTTGTTCAGGAGTTGGAATCCAATATTGAGTGGCTGCAGCTAAATTTGCAGCTTTACTGCATTGATCACTTGAATCTAAAGAGACATTGGTGCAGTTTGGAGGGCCAATGTGCAAGGAAACATTAATGGCATCCTCTTCTTCTTCATGACCTGGATTAGGGTTTTTGAGATCCATTTGATCCATTTCATTTTTTTCCTTAAAGAAATCAAATGGTTCGATTTCTTTGTGAGAAGTATTGGAGCTGGAGAAGAAAGAAAAAGGGCTAAATGAAAAGCCTGAAGCATCCATGTTCTGATTGGTGTTGGTTTTTGTGTTCAAGGTCTTCCTTCTTATAAAGAGAAGATGTAACCTTCGTTGAAGGGTTGGTTTGTGTACAAGTTATGGGAAAAAAAATATATTCAGTATGAATGAGATTGAAGGACGGTGGGTGGGGTGGGGTGGGGTATTGGTTGGTGAAAACTACCTTGGTTAAGGAGAGAGTTAATCTCTGCTGTTTGCTCATAATACCTAGTTTTAGTTAAAAAAGCAACAACCTTAGTTAATGTCTTAATTAGCGTATTAATTAGTGTGGCCCGGTCAATTTCAAAATTTTGCAACAGAAAAGCTGCAGTGAGTTGGAATTTAGTGTCACAATCCACATTTGGCCTTCCTAGACTCAGATATTTCGTCACAAACAGGATAATATTAAATCTATGTTTGGTCCTTATTCCGTCCGACTTAGGACGTCTCTGTGCAAGTATGATAAGGGCACATCTCCAAGTGGTAAAATGGGAGGGTGGAGAAATCCAGCTTTGCTTGAAGCTGTCACGTCATTTTTACATTTGACTTATTGCCTTATCAATAAATTTTTAAGCTTAGTTAGCCAAACATGCACTAATTATCATTCGAGGGAAGGTAATATAGCTCTGGCCAAGGACAGAACAAAAGTCATGAGGAATATAGTGCGTATTAAGAGCTTGAGTAGTTGAGACTATTTTTGCTATTATAATCATTCTTTTCATATACGTAATTGTCACATCTTGAGCCAATAAGATCACTGTAAACTTTCGTCTTTATGAATAAGCATTTCATCTCTCGAGTGATAGATCCAAGACCAATACCAATAATCCAAAACTCTAAGAGGTGAATTGTTGTACGCGTTCAAAATTTACCTCCCATATCCACATAGCACTTAGCTTACGTATATCGAAATTGCCTTGTTGCTCTAATATTACTTCTTCTTAGAGTATGTTTGGAAAGTGTTTATAAATTATTCAAATTATAAACATAAAAACGAATGGTACAAAAGCAAGTAGTATTTGAATCCCTCAAATGTATAACTAAAACATAATTTGAGAGTTTATAAATATGAGTCAAACATAAACTTAATAATCTAATTTCTAAATTCTAAATTCGTTTGTTAACAATAGGTATAATGCAAACGCAAAGTGTTTTCTTTTTCATTAAGCCCCTGATTTGTTCAAAATAAAATTATATTTTGACAAAAGTCAATGGGATATGTAGTTAAAAAGTTGTGAACCTCGTAAAATTTGATATTAAAATTAATTATTGACTTAATTTAAATTTTAATCAACTTTTATATTTGAATCATAGAATTTAAATAAAAATTATATTTTCCCAAATAATAATACAAATTGTTTCCATGCAAATTATGTTGTTAGTGATGAGTTTACTCGGTGCTCCATAATGCTACAGTACACCAATAAAAATTAAATAAAGACATTGATGCAAATAGTTATTGAGAAGGAAGAACAAATACTAATTTGTAGGGAAAAAAAAATTATACAAATAAACAGTTTTGACCATGATATGTACAGTACTCCAGTGAGTTTCTGAGGAAGTGGTACTTCCTGAAGTTGCATGCCCGGCTTCTGTTTCTGTTGAGGTTCGGGGAGGAGCCTGTGAATCTTCACCAACACACGACATTAACTTATAAATTACAAACATTTTTTTTTTTTTTTTTTTGCTCTACACCAAAACACGACATTAAGTAATTAATTACAAACATTTTTTCTTTCTTTAGTCACAAGGCACGTTTGAAAATCTTTGTTACTAGGTAGAATAAGATTAAAAAGATTGAAAAACGAACATGCATAAAATATTTGTTCGTTGTCTTGTCCAATTTGACATACTAACAGTTCGTAATTACAAGACGACTCCTTTCACAAGTTTAAATAATAAAAAAATAGTCTTTTTACTAATTTTTTGAAACATTAAAAATCCTAAAAGTGAAGATGTGCAACATATGGACTATAGGTAGAGCAAGAAACGTTAGTCTTTATGCATCTAAAATGGTGTTTAAAACGTCAAAGGAATGTACTTAAATCAATAATCTACAAAAGAAAAATTGTTAAAAAAAAAAATATATATATATATATATATAGAAAACCAATTTTTTAGTGTAAGTTAAATATGTAGTTTAATCTTATTAATAGAAAGAGGCACCGCATCAAAGTGAAAGTTCAGAACTCAGAAGTGATACACCGATGCCTCTCCGGCATATGACTTTCCATTGATCCATCATGGATTCATGGGTCATCCCATACAAATTACAGCTCATATTACATGGTTACACACAGTTCTAGGACTCGACCCGATCCTTTAGTTCGTGAGATTCACGGGTCAAACTGTTTACGAGTTTGCGACTCGATTCACTTTTTGAGAAATTAATAAAATAAGTTCCAAACATGTGTTCGAATGGTTTTTTCTCACGCCTTCCTCTACACAGTCCTTCACCCTTGAAAGGGTCATAGCCCATTTTCATCATCAAGTGAATGACTTTAGAATCATGCAGCAAAATGGGGAGTGATATTTCACGAGTTACGACCTTCATCCTTGCCGACAGTTGTGAGAGTATCGAACTTTCTTAGAGAAGAACGTAAAGGAGGACGTCTAATGGCACGGCGTCTTTCCTTCATCTTCTCCCCCGCCTTACTGGCATCATGTACAAAAAATAAATAATAAAAAAATGAGTTCAATTTGGCCCATGACTTGTCTGAATACGAGCTCGAGCTAGTGGTGGCAAACGAGCTCAACGGTTCAGGCGATCAATGGCTCAACTCAAAAAAAGCCCGAGTCGAACTAGCTTGAAGCTTGTTTGTACGAGCCAAGGCCCGGGCCAAGCCTCAAAAATGAGATTTGGTCTAGCTCGAGTCAGCCCATGAGCCACACAAGCCCCAATAAGGGTCGACCCATATATGGGCTCGTGTGGCCCGCTTTTTTAAATAACTAGCATAATTAATTTTTTTAGTTTGTAAATTGATGACCACTTAGTTTGTAAATTCAACAATTTACATAAATACTTTTATAGTTTTAAAATTAATTTTGTAGTTTATAAATTAACGATCAATTTTTCGTATATTTGAGTTAAAAAAAATCAAAAAATCTATGAGCAGGGTAATTCAACTCGACAAGGGCTCGGCCCAAATCCAAGTCCAACCCCATTTTTTGGGGACGAGCCAACCCGGGCTCGAATTGAGCCTTTTTTAGAGGAAATTACACAATGGCAGGTGTTTAAAGACCACTCTTCAAAATTCATATGCAAAGTTTGATTAATCAAAAATCAGGTTGATAATTATATATTTTAATAATAATATTACTATTATACTATAATTAATCAATCAGGCCAATTTATCCCCAATACAACAATACCATTTCCCCATTTCAAAACCTAATTGGCTGAATCTCTCTCTTCGCTCTCTTCACTCGCTACTCTCCCTCATCCAAGTTCGTCGTCATCTATCCGGCGAGACGAGAGCCACCGCTGTAGATTTGCCTTTTCTCCGACGAGACAAACGCAGAGGTGTGTGTGGGGGCACTGCATGTGATCTTTGAATAAGCAGTGCATCCCACCTCTTTCCTTCTCTCTATCGCCACCGCGAGAAACACTGCACTGTACACGTCAACACCTCTGACGCAATCGCGCACAGTGGCGTCATCAATCGTTGATGCTGTTTGTGGTGGTCTGGGTCTGGGTTGGTCTTGTGTGGGGTTTTAGGTAGTAGTGGTGGTTTGGGATTGTTTTGGTGTTGTTGGGGGGTTTTGTTGGCGGCGTTGGTGCATTTGGAGGTGTTGAAGGTGGTGGTGGTGGTGGTGGTCGACGATAGTGATGGTGGTGCGGGGTAGGTAGGATACAGGCGATAGACTGTAGTGGTGAGTTTGCGACGGACTGGTGTGATCCGTTTGTGGTGGCGTTGCTGGTGCGGTGAGGTGATGGTGGCATTTATCGTTATGCAAGTGGCGGCAAGGGGGTGATCGTGCAGGCATGGTTGAAATTTTCTCCGATTTGCCGTGTTTTACCAATTCGTGGTGTTTCTCTGGTGGTGATGGTGGGGGAAGTGTTGGTGGTGGTGTATGTGATCTTTGGTTAAATATGTGACCTTAAAATTGGGTGTGTCGTGGTGGTATTGTGGCGGGGGCGAGGTATAATAGTGATTGTGACGAACCATTTGGTTGCTCTGTGACCAAAATATTGGTGTTGATTTGAGTCTGTGACCAACTAAATAAATTTTGACCGTAAACCGTGACTTAAAATTTGATCAACTGTGATTAAAATGTAATTTGTAACCATTAAATTTGAAAATATGTAACCTGTGACCTATACAATTTTTGATATGTGATTTCAAAATAATTTGTGACCTACAAAATTTTTTATTTGTAACCTCGAGAAAATTTGTGACCAACTAATTTGATGATATGTGAACAGTAAAAAAACCTATGACCTATAATTATATTCATGTGACCATTAATTGTATAAATGTGACCTCATTATATTTAATTAATAAAAAGTTTTAATTAATTAACTGAAAACCTGATTTTTGCATTAGTCAAACTTAAAACTTGGTTCTTGAACTGTGCATAGTTAAACCATGATTTGTGAATTCTTCCCTTTTTTTTATATGAGTTGATACCAAGTCTCAAGTTTGAGCTCGCGAACCAACTAGGATTGACTCGGCTGATTGCCACTACTAGCTGAAGTAGTTCATATTTAGAGCTGCACAATCTGAGCCCACAACCCTGCACAGTTCCACTTTTATACCCTTAAACCACCCCCACCACCATCACAAACCCAGAACTTATACTTTTATAATAATGATCCATGTATTAAGAGCATCTCTAAAAGACTATTTTTAAAAAACATACTCCATCATTTAGAGAGTATCTATAAATTTAAAGAGTTAAAATTTTGAAGTGCTTCAACAAACTTTTTATTTTTAACACTTAATTTTACTATTTCCAAAAATATTTACTATTGTTCTCTATCTTTTATTTCAATAAAGTTTTCTCTAAATTATTTTATTATTTTCCTAAATTGAAAATTAAAACACTTTGAATGTATTTAATTATAGAGAGCTAGTTTGGAGAGCCTACCCCACTCTCTAAATTAAAATATTAATTTAAAAAGTTTCTTAGAACTTGATTTTAAGGGTCGACTTTTAAAATACTGAGCATCTCATATTTATATAGTCTTTTGGAGATGCTTCAACTAAAGTTACTATTCATACCCAAATTCATTTAATTTTGTCTAGTTGACTTAGGGTCAGATCTCACGCACAAGGTATCACTTATACCTTCTAGTATAGTTGGAAAATGGGACTCGTCTAGCTCTGAAAAATTCGAGAGTTGACCCAAAAAAATATTCATTCAAAAACTAAAAACATTGCATCTCTAAAAAATCGAGATGAAACTAAATTAACCAATCAATTCAACCAGGAACATGTCATGAGTTAAATTGCATTTTTCGATTGCATTCAATCTAAAAAAAATGAAATATTATTGCTAGGATAGATTTTGCACGACATATATCATGTTATGTTATCAAATGAGCAGAATAGGCCGATATGGTCCCATTTTACGTCAACCTAATTAACGACATATTTAAAAATTTACTTGCAAATAAGTAATAGAATGTTTACCGGTAGGAGATGACAAAGATTGTCTTGTTGACTGTAGTAAAGGAAGACGAGGAGGAGGAGGAGGACATGTTGGAGTAGAGCCCTCCATCAGCGTAGGATAGTACTGATAAGATTGTCCTTGCATACGTTGTGCCTGGGCTATAGAAAATCCATTATAATATGGATTTCCCATTGCCGATGATGAACCCCCATATAATGGACGATAATATTGTGCTTGCTGAACATTAGGGTTATACATACTCTGCCCAACCAAATTTTAAATTAATATTAATTTCATTTATCTGCCACTACATAAATTATTTTTCATTATTTCGATGCAGAAGATAAGCTAACCTGAAGATAGCCAAAATCAGGTGGATACGTTGCATACCTGAAAGATTAAACATAACTGAAAATTGAATAATCTGGTTTATTGACACCAAATTAATCAACATCTCTTGTTTTACTATTAAATATGCCAATAATATTAATGTTTTTGTGTTATAACAATAATTTCTGTCGTGATTAAGAATATTATGTTTCTATTGGACTAATTATTTTTTATGAAATGATCATACAATCTATTATTACCGGTTGATCATTATTTTCTCATTTCTCATGTCGTGACATGAATTATAAGTTGTAATTTTATAAACTGCATTACGTTTTATTTTTTTAAATTTACGGAAACTAAATTTGTTTTTGTAATTCATCTGGTCAACAAGACATTAAATTAACACTTTTGTAGCTCTGTAGCTGACAATTTTAAATTATTTCTGTAATAAATTTATTTATTGTCGTCTGCGAAGACCAACTGTATTAAAATAATTTACTGCAGTAATGTCTTATGGACCATATGCGACATTGTAATATCGACAAGCAAAACGTACCCATAAGGTGGATTGATAGCCGGAGGAGGTGGCGGCGGCGGCGGTGGAGGTGGATGCACTGGTGTATACCACGATGATCCACCCTGTGCTAATCCACCTCCATGATATGGATTTCCCATTTGATTTCTGCCTACAAATGAAAAACCAAGTTCGGCTATCAAAACGAAACTCAATAACTTCAGAGTCGACTAACTTACAAAAATAAAAGAAAAAAGTGTACCTCTAGGTGATGATAGTCGAGGCCGTCCCATTGAAGCAATATTACAATTTGCCTTTCTTCCATCAATGACAGGATTTGGATCAGCACAAGCCCTATTTGCTGATGCAGGGTCACTGAATGTTACCTGTAAATTTCAAAAAATACGATATCTTTTTAAATTCAGAGTCGACTGTATGATCAAACTGTTGAATATAATAAAGATTATATATGCTTACGAATCCGTATCCTTTCGACTTTCCAGTGCTCTTATCAGTGATGATCACAGCTTCAAGAATTTCACCGAACTGCTGAAAATATCTGCGCATTACATCAGTAGGAGTTTCCCAGGCAAGCCCTCCAACAAAAACCTTAGTAAAAGTGGTGTCACCAAATGGTGATCGATAATGTTGATAAGCCATAGCATCTAAATTATATTATCAAATGAATCAAACCTCCCATAATCGCATTTTATGCCATTCTGAATCACTTTCCCCTTCAACTTCTATCTCCCAACCCCATCCCGCGGCGGCACTACTGGTGATGGAGGAAGAGAACAAGATGGGTTTTTTTTCCCCGCACTTCGACTGATGGATTCTTGAAGGAAAATTGCAGAGAGAGAGAGAGAGAGAGGTGGGGGGCAAGGGATCCGACAGTTGCAAACTCTTATCCCCGTTTGGCCCCCATTTTGTGGTAATGAGAATGTGTGGAATAGTGATTTTTTGAAAAAATGAGTAGTTGAAAAAGAAAGAAAAGTTTTCGATTTACGTATAATATTATTTTATTGAAGATTGTGTGGTTGAAAGTAAAAGAGAGAAAAATGAAATATAATATAATGAAAATTAATGGGGATCAATTGCTATAACTTTGGGGTTGGGATGGATTTGTGAGCTTGTCCGAATGACAACTCCGTTAGCACTAAACTAGAATAATGATGTTTGAACACGGTCAACGACAGGCAAAAAATGGATTGACTCACTTGACAGTTAAATTTTTTTTTTTTTAAGCTATCCAATCATATATTTCCATATTTTTTAACCTATACTTAAGCCTGTTTTTGAATAATAATTGACTTGACTATGTTCTCACTGTCTTAACATTAATATATGCTTCAATTCCATCCAATCAAATATATGTTCTCCGTATTCACCCAGCCCCCTGTCTCGAGGCAACGATTTGGTGAGAAATCTAGGCCCTATTCGAGGTGGGGCCATGGATATCACGTATAATGAATTCTTTTGTAATTCTCATTGTAGTCACACAAAGCACTTTTCAAAAAATATTCAAATATTTTCAAATGTAATTTCTTAATTTCGGTAGCTATTTTTTAATTTTTCAAAAGCCCTACCAACAAAATCCCTTGATTTTTGTTCTCTTCTTTTGATTCTTCCCTCAGTTTTTACTTTTTAGTCCTTAATCCCTACCACATGTAATTAGAATACAAATCATATAGAGTTATCGCTTCATTTTTGCATAAAAAAAAATATATTTTATAGTTTCTTATTTCGCTCGCAAATTGATAGGATGAATGGGTCCTCACAACTACTAAGCCTCTAGCAGATGAGGACCAAGTCAAAGCCGAATTGGCACCCCACGTGAAACTCTGTCGGAAAAGTCCAAGAGCAGTCCTAGTGGTCAAAGACAAAGCTTGACCGAAGCCCGTGAAGGCCCAAAGTGAATCAATGAAAAGAAGCCCAACAATCAAAGTGCCTCATTACAGACAAAGCCATATGACCTTGTTCTGAACCGGCCATTACAGACGAAGTCCTACACTTCGAGCCCTTCTCCCTTCGAAGCCCTTCTCCTTAAAGCCTCACTAGCTGCAAGGGGCTTCAGATCGAAGGTAGCTCCCAATGGATATCCGCCAAAAGTGATCAATACTACAATTGTCAGACTAAAAATACAAAATAGGATTATATGACAATTTAACTTCTCAGAGTCTTTATGTGTACAATGCAAGTGGGTGATAGGGACGTATGTGAGAGGACAGCAAGGCTGGTCAGATGATGCCACGTGTATCTAAAACATGGGTCTTGGTAAACAAAATTAAGCAATAATGCATTTGTTTTCCATTTTGTGATTTTTGACACTCGTAGCTATATTTTCTCACTATGCACCACTACTCATGTTTCTTCATCTATTTCTACACTGTTAATAATCAACAATAGAGCAAATTTTAGAGAAGAAGAGTTAAATGTCCACTTGATCCAGTTAGTCGGGTTGGTCGTGAAAGTGTTATATACTAAAACTGAGAACGTTATTTATTTCTAAGAACCAATCAAACAGTATTTTCATCCACACGAAGTTGAAATCTGTTGTCCAATTTTGTTGTCCTATTTTGCTGTTCAGCCAATTAATTATTAATATGTCATCAATTTATTGGATTAGTTGAAGGTAATCAAGGTAAATTTGAGATGATATATTAATTATTGATGATATGTACAATCAATTGGTCAAAGTATCTCAACTCATCCACGGCCCCATGTTCCTAACCTTCCAATCATTAGACGTCACACAGCTAACTGTTCTAACATCTAAAACAAATTGACAGAACAATTAACTAAAATCAAAACCTGGTCTCTAACTATATATTTGAAACCAACCCAGGTCATCAAACAACAAAAGCATATGGATGAAAAAGCCACTGGTCAGCTAAGATAAAGTGGAAAAGCGTGTCTAATTATCATCTTCGAATATTCCCAGCCAAACGTGTTAAACAAAGTTAATTATGTATTGAACTCGGTCAATCGAATATGTTAGACAGTGTTAATCGAGTATTAAGCAAGTTTCACGCTCTTTTGCATAAAGTTTTATGAGCATTCATTAAATTTACTCAAAACCTAATAGAGAATAAATTGAGGAAATGATTTGGCTCTTGTTTGATAATCTTAGATTGTTCATTGTTGCCAGCATTAGGGATCGATGAGGAGACAGCTAACAGCTAAAGGATCCTCCAGTTAATTACAAGTCCGTGAACTGGCTGTCCTCTCAACAACGTGGGCTCCTGTCTTTCTTGTAGAACTATGAGCTGGATTTTATCTACTTTCTTTCACATACAAACGCACAATGGAATCTGCAGCCAATTATTTTGAGCTTTAGGCTCTCAATCAAGGGTTTGTCTACATGTACACAGGGTAGACACCTCGATGTACAGACTATAAGTATTATATCCTAGATCCAATCAATATTAGACATAAATACTTTTGATATATAATTAATGCAATTTAATGACAGATCTATTATTTAATTAATAGACAAATTAAATAATAGAGTTCGTAAATTCAAATATTCGTAATTTGTTAATGACAAAGAATTGTGATTGTAAGATACAAATTACATATGATTGAATCTTAAATCGTCCGTGGTCGTAAGTAATAACGAGATATGAATATCGTTATTACGGATAGATCATCATGTGTGGTATTTCTTACTTGTGAAGTAAGTAGCCGATCTCACAAACTAAAGTGTAGTGACACTTAAATGAACACGTGGATGTTTTGTTATAGAACAAAACATTGGAGACCCACCGAGAGATTTTACATGGATAACTATCTGAGTGTCAGTGGTTAATCTCTAACGTTTGGTAGTGAGATTAGTCATTTTGACTTGAGGTCGTCATAGTACCTTATATGAGGACAGTCATGTTTTGACGGTGTTGAATGTTGCTCTGCCAAGGGCCGCTAATACGACATCGCTCAGGTATATCAAGAATCATATGAAGGTTGTGAATGACCAATAGAGGATTCGCCACTCTTAGATAGTAAGAGATTATGATATGCGTTTCATTCAATTAAGTCGATAATGAAATCCTTAGCCAATGTGTACTTAATAGTGAAGTGAAGTATATGATCGATAATCAAGATTGACACACTTTCATATCTCATAATTGATCGGATTATATTGACGAATGGATTATAGTTTCACGGTAAACGAATGAATTTGGTTTTGTCATACCACGTGACATTTTTCCGTCACATGTATTGCCCTAACACATTGCTAGATATAAATCTGGGACGGTGAGTGTGATTGGTGATGGGTGTTTTAATTTATCAATTTTGATTAGATCAAAATAATATTTCACGTCGATAGGTATCGTGATCGGGAACCTGATAGGTTGCACACAAAAGGAGAACTGGAAGATTGTGATTTGTCAATTAATTAATTTAACAAGTGTTGGATAAATTAAATAATTGGGTTGCTTATTTATAGACTTGAATTGATTAATTAATTCACGGACCAGATTTAATTAAATGGGTTAATTAAATGTTGGGCCGGGTCAGGCTAAGCCCGCTCGGGCTTATATAAATATGATTAAGGTTTTCAAAATTGTAGTGATTTTTCATTATTCTTGCTAGCACAAGAAAAACCCTAATAATACAATATTATTCTATGTGCGGATCACCGTTAGAGGTTGGACAATTGGACAGTTGTGAGAGACAGATCCAAGTTACTGGAACAAAGATAAGGTAAAGGAGTTTGCAGATCGTGAAAAGGTATCACTTTTATCACAATTTTTATCTAAACACAAAGATGAATTCTGGTGGGAATCGAAATTTTATTAAATTTCCGCTACGCACGTTAAGTAGATTCCCACTATAAGAGGGAGAAGTTAACCTACACGTTGAAGATGAGCAAAGGTTGCCGTATTGCCTGTAGGAGCATACTTCTTGCTATTGCATTTTGGCTTAGTATTAAAATTAGAGAAATGTTGCTTTGTACCTAATTTAATTGGAACATTAAATGAATTTCATGTTGGGACATGAACTATTTTAATGTTAAGGACAATTGTTGTTCTTGTTTATCTTGATAAAGATCCTAATGGTTATGGTAAATTACAAAACGACATTTATATTCTTTAATACTAAGCATTCTATAATGAGTATGGAAGTTAAGAGGTATAAAAGTGATAATCTAATTATTACCTAAATATGGAATTGCAGACTTTATCATATAGATGAAATGCAATTTCAAAGTTACATAAAGATGTATACTTGAGATTAATTGATTTTGACAAGTACAAATTATGCATGTCTGGCACAATAACCAAATCTTCTTTTATTTGAAAAGAATAAAGATCAACATAATTACTGGTCTAATGCATAGTGATGCATATGGACTCATGTCAATTGATGTCAGATAATGTTTCTCTTATTTCATCAATGATCATGTATACTTAATGAAACTTAAATATGAAACTCTTAAAAAGTTCAAGGGATTCAAACTAGAAGTAGAGAAATAAATAGGTAAAAATATCCTCGCATTAAGATTCGATCGAGTGAGAATATCTTAAAAATAAAATTTAGATTATCTAAGAGAGAATAAGATTCTCTTGCAGTGGACTCCTCCATTTACACTACAGTATAGTGGTATATCTAAAAGGAGGAATCGTTAACTATTTGATATAATGCGATTAATAACAAGTCATGCAAATCTCTCAAAATTGTTTTTGGATCATGCATTGATTGCAGCGTGCAACACACTAAATCATGTTACATGTAAGTTGGTTAACAGAACTCCATACGAGTTATGGAAAGACGGTAGTCCCAATTTATTTCATATGAAAGTTTGGGGCCATGACGCTTATTTGAAGAGCCTTGAATCGAATAAGTTTGAAATTAAATCCGATAAATACA